GTGATGTATAAGCCTATAAATCCTCAGGTTAACCTCCAAGGGATGGTAGTGCAGACAAAAAAACAAATGACCACATCAGACTTGGTACCATAGCAGGTAGATGAGTTTAAGAGGGCAGCTCATGACCACCTTTTAAGGGCAATTAAGAGAGGACCAAAAATGTTGGCCTTGCCAGTGCTGCCCACACGTCGTAAATGTTTTTTTTAAATGAAATGACTTTTTCAACATATTTGATGCATAGATTTAGAACATCTTGAGGGAAGCTTTGTGCAGTTTGTTTTCTATCTAATGTTGCTATGAATATGTTGAAAGTATTCAGCTGGAGACATGAGCACAGATGTCTGCTTTCCTTCTTGGAGAAACCACCCGGATGTGTGCTTGAATGGTCAGGGAAAGGGTCTGGTTACCAAATATTCTAAGAGGCAAGATTATGAAAAGTAATTGAGATTATGATTCAGACTTTGCTGTATCATACACTTGTATTCAAGCATTAGAGAAATCCAAGTTCAGTTTTTCTTCCCTCCCTTTTAATGTTTGGCTATTTCTTAAGTGTTACTTGCACAATTCGTTAACAAGTTGGACTTCAGTCAGTTGGTCCAGAACCGTTGAAGTGATTAAAATCTCATGAAATTGGATGAGAATCGAGTGCCTGTTGAGACTGTGTGGTATTTAACAAGTATTATGCAGCAAAATCACAAATCCCTCTCACTGCCACATTGTTAGTATGCCACGGTGGGGTATTTTGTGTTCACAATTCAGATTCATGGCACACTTGTGTTGTTTGCTTGGAGTCTTTTTAAAAAAAAAGCTGTGCTGTTGTAGAAACCCTCTTGAGCATGAATTTTTGCAAAATGCTAGTAAGACTGAAGTTATTGTCATTTGTTCAGTCTTCTGTTCCTGAGATCAGCTTTGTCGTTATGGTTGAATTTGACAATTTTCCCAGCAGACACTGACTTTGCAGACATAAATTGAATACATTGAGATTTAATCACAGGCAAACTTGCATAGAGCAATTTCCAGAATCTGTTGTATTTTGTTTTTGTATGCAGCCTGAGTCAAGTGCTTAAAAAGAAACTGTTTATCAACAATGTCAGATACAATTTGGCTCCAACAGTATTTTTCACCAAGATGCTTAATTAGTTAGATCTGTGTTAGCTTTGCCTCCTGAGGAAATATCTGCTCTGATAACCAGTTTGCGATCAGCATATTTTACTGCCCCACAAATTTTGCTTTCCAAACAATTAAGTTCACACTGCATTGTAATTGGGTGGGTGGTGAGAGGGCAGGGAACATGACTTGTGAATTTACTCACCACCTTTTCTAACTTGTTTGCTAACTTTGTCAGTTTGCATCCTCTTACCCTGTAAGCTGTGGACTGTGCTCTGTACTTCACTGAAATGACCCTAACAGGCGAGTATTATTGGTGTTGTTTCCTGAGCACTGAATCTCCATTCTATCCATATGTGCACATTGCCGATGGATCTCATTGGCACTTCTAAACCGGAACTTGAACTAGTTTCCTTCCTCACCCTTTCTCTTTCCTGGAGCATTGAAGCCCATTATAATTTCCCATCACTCTAAGACTGGTTGAGTGCAAATTCAATTTGGAATCTCAACAGTAACTTGTAATTATGTATTGTATTTAATGCCATCCAGTATCCAAAAGTGCTCCACAGTTTTGCAGACCCAATTTAATGGAAGCTGCTTGAGGAGGTACAGTGTAGACAGTCACAAATTTGCTAACAGGTAGAATTTAGGAATATCTCACAGAAGCGAAGAAGTTCCAGAGCTTAGATTTTAATTAGCAGTGATATAGCCATGACTATTGCGTCAATTTAAAATTGGGCATGTTCAAGAGAGTAAGTTTGCAGTGCAGGACCAGGGGCTGAAAGAGATTGGAGAGATTTGAAAATAAGGATGAAGATTTTAAATTTGAGATGTGGCTTGACTTGTATAGATTAGCAAGCATGAGGGTGACTGTTAATATCAGCTAACATGTGGGGATATTGGTTAATCACTTGTTCAATGGAAATATGTTGGTGGAGTTGGAGATGAATCTGATGGGCTTGCGCTCAGGAAGGGTATGAGGTAGATGCATGCAAACTAGGGGAGGTTCTGAGGAAGGGTCACGAGATCCGAAACGTTAACTCTGATTTCTGTCCACAGATGCTGCCAGACCTGCTGAGCTTGTCCAGCAATTTCTGTTTTTATTTCTGATTTCCAGCATCCACAATTCTTTCTGGTTTTCAAAACTTAAAATGGTGCACAATTTCAGATATTTGGAGAAAAGGAAAAAGCTATTGCTGTCAGCCAAAAAAGAACGCAGATGGGATATGAGTATAATATCTTTTGAGGAAATGATGCAGAGTGAATGTGAGGATGCATTTATCTTTACACATGGAGTAATAATGCACTGGAACGCTCTGTCTACAACTGGCGGATGTGGATATGATGAAAGATGTCAAAAATAAATTGGGCCCACACACCTGAATGACATGAAACTTAAAAGGGTTGTATGAATAGAGCTAACTGGATTTTCGTTTAGAGAACCAATGAACTGAGTTGTCTCCTTAACTGTGTTGACTCTGACTGGATTGTCTTTGATCCCTGTGACAAAGTCCATTCCTTCTTCTTCATCACCAGCTCACTTCCTGGGGACTGAGGCTGAACCAGACTGCAACCTTGATGTTACAGGAGGTTGGAATCCAAATGACTATCTGTGCCATTGCTAAAACTGCTTATCTGCAGTTTGGACATCAGCACTCTTCCACTCTCTTGGTTGAACTGCTGAAACAGTTGACCATATCTTTGTTGCCTCCAGACTTGATTTGGTCTAATGTAGTCCTCACTGGCCTCCCCGTTCTGCCATATGTCAAATTGGGACATGTGGCAATACAAAGTTGTGCTGCTGAACGCTCTCTCTGAATCTTATTCATCAGCACCCCTGTCCTCTTTGACTCTGGTTAAACAAAAACTGTTTTCAATATCTATTCCTTGTTTTCAAATTGCCTCCATTTTTCGCCCCTCCCTGCCTATCATCTCCTCCAATTACAAACCTTCCCATATGTGTTGTTCTAATTATGGGCTTGTCTGTATTCTCACTTTTTTTTTAATAGCTCTGCCATTGGTGACAACTCCTTCAGCTGCTTGGGCCCCTGGAATTTGTTCTGGAATTTCCTCCCCAAACATTTGCACCTCAGTTTGCTCTTCTGTACGATGTTTCCTTAACATTTGTGAATTTTAACCAAGCTTTCAAGCATATGCCTAATATCTCTTTGTGCAATTGATAATATATTTTCATTTATAATGTTGCTATCCTGTTGGCTATAATATGTTCGAATAGACCTGTCAAATTTTATTTGGCAATTTATATATTGACTCACCTTCAGACATTATACTATGTTATAAATGCGATTTAAACATCAGGTACAGATAGGATAAAATTATTGCAGATGCTGGAATAGACTTAATCTGCACTTTCAGCAGCCTTTCTCCTCCGGCACTCCGCCCCACCGTTGCATTAGTGCTGCCCCTTCCACACAATACATCAGCTCTGATGAAGGGACATCTAGACTCAACGTTAGTTTGCTCTTTTTTCCATGGACGCTGTCTGACCCGCTGTGATTTCCAGCATTTTTAGTTTTCGGTTACAGATACTTGGATATCTTTGTACCTGAGGCAAAATGCACCAGGTTTGCGATGAGTGGGCAACATAAAATTTAAGTGTGGAAGTTCTTAATCATTTTCTTACAGAACTAGTGTACTCAATTGTAGGTGATTTTTGGTATAGCTTGGTCAACTGTCAGACAGTTATAGGATTTTTGAGCTCACTGCATCAGTTTGCTCTGTTAGCTGGCATTTGCCAATGAGTGGTTAGCTACAATATATAAATTTAGCTCCCTCTACTGACACAAACTGTACAGTTCCAATTGTGAGAATCTTTGGTCAGTTCTTATTCTGCTTGAGCAAATCAAAATTTTCGTTGGCAGACGTGGCAACTTAGTTCTGTCATATCTTTGATATCTGTCTCAATTTTGAAGGAAATCTCTTCATTTTCTGTTACCCATTCGTCCCTAACATTCAGGAGATTTTGGAGTACACCACAAGACTCCTACGACCATTGGGCATCAGAGTGGCACACAAGCCCATGTCAACTGCTCACCTGAACTAAAGACCCTCTCCCCACCATGGACAGGACCAATATCATCTACAAAATCCCCTGCAGATACTGCGAGAAACACTACTTCGGACAAACAAGAAGGAAACTAACAACAAGAGTACGTGAACACCAACGGGCCACAAAAAGACACTACCAATACTCGCTCATCTCGATCCACATGGACAAGGAGAACCAAGACTTCGACTGGGACAACACCAAGATCCTGGGACAGGCTAGGCAGAGACAAGCACGAGAATTCCTGGAAGCATGGCACTCCATGAAGCATGCTATTAGTAAACACATTGAACTCGACCCCATATACATTCCACTACAAAGGAAAACCGGAAGTGAGGCAATCCATCGCAACGGACCAGAGTTTAAAGACCAGACGGGAAAACACACCGACGCTTCATCGGAGGCTGCACTGAGGATGTTACCAAGCATGGTAAAGAAACATCTGCAAAACAACAAACCAGCTCGGCGAGCCAACCAACCTCAATTCAGGAGGTTTTTCTTCAATGTATTTATTGTTTGAATTACTTTAGCCAACAAAATGCTTGATATTTTAATAGAAATGTTCCTGCCAGAGGTTTAAGTTGCATCATGCACTTAAGTGAGCAGATTAATTTGCAAGTAATGTTGTTTCCGTGATACAGACATTCATTCCTCCAGCTTGACTCCAGGAGCCTCTTTTATTTGTACAAGTTGGAATACACTGGCTCTCTTTTGCTAATATTGGGTAACTCCGTTATCTCTGTTTACTTTAAATTTTATTGATAATGTCTCTTTATTTTTCTTGTTCAGGATGTTTGTATTTATTTTCATTTTGTTCTTCTCTACTTTTCCAACTCTTGGAAGCTGATTCTCCTCATTTTTGTTTCCCTTGAAGCCCACAAAGTGTGCGGTATTGGATTATTGCTTAGAAAATATGCCTGAGTATTCAATAATCCTGACGTCAGGTGAGGTGTTATAGTTTTGTGCTCAAGACCATTTTAGGATTTTTTTTTAAGGTACTTCATGAATTGATCAATCAGGTGTTTTAAGAGAAGTAGTAATTTCTCCGATTAATTCTTACTCCTTTCCCTTCCTACCCAGCCACAAAGCTACAGTAAGTCATTTGAACAATATTTTTCCATACCATCTCAGTTTTGATTTTAAAATCTGTTCCCCGTCTAAATGCAATTTGGATCAAAGCTCTCAAGGCCAAAATTAATGGCTTAATGTACTGAATCTTTTTTTCTCTTTTCCTCCCCACCCTCCACCCCCAAGGCTTAATAGCTGCAACTTGCCCATGCTTGCCATTTCAGTATGGTTCTGAGAGTATTTATCTCCCTTTGTGTTAACTAATCCAGTTTCAGGTGTGAATGAGTTATGTACGTTCCATTCAAGAATGCTAATGATGATGACAGCAGGAATAAATATCTTGCTAGTTTAATTTTATGCATCTGTTCAGCACCATAGTTTGTTTCTTAATTCCAGGCTCTATCGTTGATATCTTGAAGTACTTCTTGGATGAGCAATTGTCGTAAATACAATCAAATTAAAATCCCAACAATGTCATGTTTATTTTCGTCAACCTTCCAAAACACAGTTTAAAAGTACAGGAGTCTGAATTTTTTTGTCAGTTTTCTTCTCTTAGGTGGAATTGCTGCTCATTTTACAACGTTAATTCTTACAGTTCTATGTTTTGCCATTTAAAAAATAGCTGTTATCTTTCATGTTCCTCAGATGAAGTAATTGCAATGTAGTAGGTAGTCATAATGATCGAGAAAAATTGTCCCTTGGAACTGAAAACATAATTTTTACAATTAGGAAGATACGAGGTAAAACTGGGTGGTGACAGAGGTTTTTATTGAAAAACCGATTGAATGGCCTTCCATATAATGGTGGAAACATGTAAGGAACAATGAGGTGTATCTTTGTGAACGAATGGACTTCGTCAACTTGAGCAGGATATGACAGTAGATGGTAATATAATGAGGACATTTATGTACTCAGATGGTATTGTAAGAGCAAAGAATCTGCGTAGATGAATATGATGTTGGAGGACATGAGTGTTAGTTGACTTTTTTTTTTGGACAACTTGGCTTTGAACAGAACAGAAATTTTATTTTTTCAAAACACAGCTTTGAAGTTCGTGCCAAAATTTTGAACAGACTACCCTTGTGCATAATTTTTAATCGGTCTGAGGTAAAACTGCTCCTTTATTACTCGGTTAGGAATGGAGGATAAAGTTGAGCAATAACTAAATCATCAAAGGACAACTTGCTGTCTAAATATACTGTTTTACTATTTTGCTTTAGTTGTGGAAAATCTTTTTGATGCAGCACACCCAATAGCAGACGTATGCTATTTATTGACTGCAGCAAAACTGATGGCAGACCAAGTCTAAATATGAGCAAGCACTTCCAGTCTATCTTTTGCAATTTCATGCTTGCTGACTTCTTCAAAACCAAATAGTGTAGTTAAGTCAGAAATTGTTTTTGTCGTGTTTTGCACAGCCCATCTCTTCGTGTTAAATCAACGTTACACTTTGTGATATGTATGAAATAACTTCCACAAATTGCAGTTAACCTGTTATGATTGTTATCACCAGTTCATCTATAAACATTATGTTGTGCGAACGGAGCTCTTAATTCTTGCTTGTAGTATCACTACCTCTACCCCTGTCTCATGCTCAGACTTCCTTCTGTTCTTTATATTTAAATCACTCCATGACTTTGCACAATTTGTAACATTCTGTAGCTTTCTACAAGCTTGGTGTTTCTGAAATGCTAATCTCGTCCACATTTCCAAGTGCTTTCCTCCTGGACATGGCAGCACCTTAGGCTCTAAACACTGGAGTTAACTCCTCAAAGCTTTGGTCTTTGACTCTCCGGTGTTCTGTTAAGACAGTCCTCAGCATCAGACTATTTGACCTGTTTTTGCCCCCTTCACCAGCAAAAAGAATGGAAATATTATGGCTTGATCTGTTTAAAAAGAACTTGCAACTTTAAATCATTCCTTGCCTTTTGGTTCTTTATTTTCCCCCAGCATCCTTGACTATTTGTTTATAAGAATCAGTTGCTTTAATAAGGGATTCAGTAGATGGTAAAGTATTTTAAAATAGATAAATGGCAAATCCAGACATTTTGACTATTTATTTAGGCATAGGACAAAGTAAATTTTTCTGAATTTTGAGTGCTTGAGAGAGATTATCCTAATGCCCTTTATCACACCCTGATCTCTGCACATCCTCCTTTTTTGTTTATACTGACTGGTGGACAAAATAAATAATATTTGAATCAGGCCTTACTTTGAGTATCCTAAGAGCAGACTACGTAGGCGTAGAAGGTGGCCGTTCACCACATTGAGTCTGCTCCGCATTCAGTGAGATCATGGCTGATCTGAAAATCCTCAACTACTTTCCTGCCTTTGCCCACAGCCCTTGATTTCCTTACTGGTTAAAAACCTATCTGCACTTTAAATATACAGAATTGTTCTTGACAGCCCTCTGCAGTAAAGAAATGAAATTCCTCCTCAGTTCTCTTAAAAGTGCAACACCTTAGTTTGAATTTCTGTGTCTGGTTCTTGAGTCTCCAACAAAGGAAATACCTTTCCACATCTAACCTGTGAAGTCCCCTAAGAATCTTGAAAGCTTCAAGAAGATTGCCTTTCATTCGAAACTTGAATGAGTACAGGACCAAAGTACTCAACCACTCCTCATCAGGCAGTCCCTTCATGACAGGTATCAGCCCAGTGAGCCATCTGTGGACTGCTACCAATGCCAGTATATCCTCCCTTGGATAAGGGGCCCAAAAACTGTTCACAGTAGTACAACAGTGATCTGACTTGTGCCTTGTGTAGTTTGAGCCAGACTTCCCTGTTGTTTGATTTCCTTTTGAAAATACCATTTATCTTCCCTATTACTTGTTGAAGTTGTATGCAAGCTTTTGGCGACTTATGCATGGGGCCACTCTCAATTCCCACTGTTCTGCGAAGATTTAGTCTGAAGTCAGCCACCTACACGTTTTTGGTCAGATGGCAGTGACAACTTGATAGCAAGTGCCTAGATTTCAACAGTATAACGCATGTCCTTGGATGGTATCATAATCTTTGAATGTTCCAATCCATCAGTCAAAGGCTCCAATCACCGTGTAAACAAAATCAGAGTGCCTCAGGAAGGCCATACCATTCTTAGAATGAATACTATCAACATGTTGTAACTTAAACGAGGTGGTGCCATGGTCTACTG